TTAGCGAGAATACGAAAATGAAAGGAGAGAGCGAGCCTGTTGGGATTTTCATAAGACTCTTTTCATGTATCGCGTTTCGCAGCGATTTTAAAAATGCCATTATGTGACAAACTCACAGTCATTATATAGCCCAGTAGTTCATGAATTCGCAGTACAATGAAGATTTTAATAACTGGTTGATTAATCATTGAGGAATATTTTTGATACTCCCAAAATCTATAAATACTACTTGGTTTTCATAAATTTATATCATTATCCATTTTGTGAAAAGGTACCTAATTTTCATTTATAAAATAGGTTGATAAAGAGACTAATAAAAAATGCTGGTCTCATTAAATTCAATTAGATGCCCTTAAATTCATATTTTATTGCCTTCCATAAATTTACTTTCCTAGATTGACTGGTTCAGGTTGGTTTTTCTTTTTCACCTCATTTTCATGCATATCCATTCGAAAGTTGGATTCATCGTTGAAAGAGCGAGTGTGCCGGCGAAAAACTTTTTAAATGAACTATTTTATATTTAAATATTTTTTTACAATCGCTCCCGCTCGCCGACTTAATTTTGTTATCTTTTGAAAATTTAATCTTTCGAATGTGTAGTAAAGCACATTTATATAAAAAGTCTATCCTGCCGGTCCCGTTTCTTTGCCATTACGTCCCTTTTTACGCTTTGTTTTTATATTCAACATTAATAAATAATTTACGATTCCCGTTTTATCGCCATAGCGGCCGCTTTTTTCCTCGCTTTCAATATTTCAGAAGGATTGAAACTTCAAAGGGGACCTACGCCATTGTTTGCGCGTTTAATAAATAAATAAAGAGCTACATGAAAAAAAAGGCGCTTTACATGACATATTTTACCTTCAAATGAAGCACTTAAACGCGAATAAATTCATACAAATTCGAGGAATTTTTTTTCCTAACGTGAATTGAGTAAGCGAAACATTGAATTACCCTGTACGGTAGACGCGGCGTTTTAATTACGTAGTTGGTTAGGCGACGTTATGTCTCTCTCTTCTTTCGATCATCAACGAGTCCTGCGGAAACGACCATAAAACCGACAATACAGAGTCTACAACAATCTAAAATTTAACGATCAACTTCTGGCTTAACTTCGTCTGACTCCTTGATTGAATGAAAACTTCCAACTCACTTTAGGCCCTCGAATTCGTCCGCACGGACAGTATTTTAGCACCAGTATTTGTTTCGAAACAATCGTAACGATTCTTAAAATAGCGTAACGTTATTGTTATCTAAGTAAAAATTTGCAGAGATGGGTATTTTAGCGTTGAAAAAAATGTTAAAATTTACTTTGTGTCGAAGCATGGACTACTACACTATACTGTTTGGTACTTCAGAGATTTGACTGGTAGAGATCTCGATATGTCCTAGTTATAAGGTAAAAAAGTCCAGGTGGTTTACTCATCGAGGCCCCATGAAAAGGATGCAACATAGTGTCGGCAATGCAGCCTAATTTAGAATTCAGGACCTTCTAATAATACGCCCAAAGTTATTATCTTAGTTATGGTGTTGTGGCTTTGTATATTTCGGTTGATTAAATCACATTCAGAGCCGCATGTAAGGAGTAATGCCTGCGTAATATCTCGTCGTCGGTCGTTGAAAGTTTTGACCCGAAGAAAGCCGCCTGTATATTTACATAATCGGCGTATTCGGGAACTTATTATTCGCCTTTTCCTAACCGACTTAATTAAATCGCGATTCACCGTGTCGATCCGGCACAATGGTTTTAAATTCGCCCGTACGTCGAATACAGTCGGGCCGGCGAATTTTCCGATGATTTGATGGAAATCATCGCGATTGGTCGCTTTTCGCACAATGTGCCAACGTAATTGTTTCATAACCGGTAGTCAAATTAGTGTAAATGATTATGCAATGGCCTGTATGTGTATCAATGATCAATGATTTCGAATCAAACTTCTATTGATGGGAATAATGCTTGTGTATATGGAAATCGCCGGCGGGTCGAGAATGGACGGGTCTTTGTTTGCTCCGCAGCGGCGGCGCCATCCCGGAAAATCGTCGCCCCGTATTTAAATTATACAGCTAAAATTGCGATAATTTACCTTGTTACATTAAAAATTAACATTTCGCTAATTAATTTTGGGCCCGTGCAGCGCAGATACAATAATTGTTGGTTCATTTTTACACCAGTGACAGCATTTTCACGTTCGATTAATTTTTTTCCGTTAATTGCATTTCGAATGTTTACACTTTTTTTTTAACTAAAAGTTTATTGTAGAGTACACTAATTGGCATCAATTTTACGAATGAACGGGTCGTAAAAAATTTAATTAATTTTGATGCGAGCTTTTGATGCCAACCGGGTTTTATTCACCCGGCTACTATACAGGGCGCTCTCGAATTTTTAGCACAAATTTCCATCGGGGAAATTCTTTAGATCATTTTCTATAGTAAGACGGTTCGGTATATGTGCATATGTGTTTTAAATGAAGTAATAGACGGTTTTGATATCAAATCGTCGACGCGGGGACGGCGAAACAAACTTCTCTAATCACAAAGCGCGATCCCCGAGCGTCGGATTCAAAGCACCTGCAAAGCCCGTTGCCATTCTGCGAAATAAACATATTCATTAACAGAAATAACTAATTTACAAGGTAGATGGCAGGTATGCCGGGGACGGGAGTGTATGTGTGTGTGTGCTGGAGAGATATTAGAACGCTAGACGGCATTAATAGATGATGCTTTTCCTCAACTCCGGCTGTATGAAATTAATTTCGCGTTGTGAATATTGCAATAATGATAATTAGCCGAGAGATGTGCGCTGTAAACGGTGGGATAAAATTCGCGACGCGGGGGATTTCTTGGAGTACGAAGTTGGCGGGATATTATAATAAATAAACGTAAAAGTGGAAAGGCGCGAGGGAAAAATAAAAAGTGGGTCACGAGCGAGTGGCCGCTTTCTCTTCTCGAAAGTTAAATCTGGAAAACGTCGGGATAAAAAGTCCCGCTAAAAGCATCACATATACCTATATCTACCTCCAGCTACCTACTCAAGAATATTTACTTTTCCGAAGTTGGCACTACTTGGAATAATCCTCGTGCTCCGAAGCAAAATAATCGTCTTCTAATCCCGCAGAAGGGCCCAGGTGGAAATTTCCTAAATATGAAATATCGAGAAACTTAACTGTTTCACTTCGGAGGTTTTCCTCCTTGTGTTTGACTACGAATTATGAGAGTTATACACGAGAAGTTGCGGTTAGGTCTAGTAGAAACTTTCTAGGTAGCTCTCCCTTTGGTGTAGGCTTATATACACAAAACGCCCAAGCAAAAAATATTACTCGTTCTTTCCTCAAAAAAAAAAAATGTTTTTTCGCTCGATTTGATTCTCCCGAATTGACAAACAAGCGTCCCCTTTACATCTAGAAATAGGTAGCTTTTTGAAGTAGTGATACATAGCAAACAATGTTGTTTAACTTGCATTAATGTTACATTATTGCTTTTTTTTATGAAACCGGCTCAGCCGAGCCCATGTTTGCTTTCAAAACGACCATTGATGAAAAATTCGATGCGGCGATGCGGTCCAATTTTTAAATTTTTTGTTTTTTCGAATTCAAACAAACGTCCTCGATTCGTTCGTTCGCTCAATAAAAGACAATTTTAATCTACTTATGCCTAAATAAAAACTACCAATCTAATATTAAAAAGCTTTTTATTATGCTCAAAATAGACAACAGTCGAGAAGTAATGTTTTAACTGTATATTTTTTGCATTTTTCGTAGCATGTATAGCAGCGCTAAATGACCCAAAAACCCGCGTCGCATAGCCCGATTAATTAGCCGCACAATACCATCAATCTTGGCGAATCTAACAGAAACACAACGGGGCCCGAACAGTGGCATTTCTATGAACCCTTTAACGCGCGTTTGTGTCAATAATTACCGACGATCCGAACGTTGTTCGAAGATTCTGACCCTAAACTACATAGCGACGTTGTTAGGGATGATTTAATATTAAGCAAGGGTGTCCTGCGTAATGGATTATCGATCCTCGAAGCGGTGCAATTACGTTTAGGTGGACGTCGGTCCTCCGGAACACACGTCCCTTTGTCGTTATCCTATTTCATTTTGCTAAGTAATTAGGAATTATTTACCTACGCATTGCCGATTAGAATTGTTCCAGTAGATTACTGAATGCTGGGTTACTGTGGATGCGGTAAGTTTTCATCAACTATATGGTTTGCTGATGGATATTTTTCTTGTACCGTCGGTTATATTTGATGAAGGACATTTTGTTCACAAATTTCAATAGATTCGAAAAAAGGTCGATTTTAATCGTACCTATACCTATTTAATTTCAAATTTTTAATTCTAAATTCAACAGAAATCGATGTTATTTATATGATATAACGAATACAAAAGCTGCCTACAGTAACTTTGTGAAAGAGCTGTACAATGTGAAATGCAGGTTATAAAGTAAGTGCTTGATTGGTAAAAAATTCATTCGATCGATTTATTATCCATTTTACTTTCCATTTCAATTTTCCAACTAATATTCGAAAATGACCCCTCGGAGTAGACAGGAAACGATAATTTCCGGTACCGGAAACAATCAGCAGAAGCGTTACTAGTTGACAGTTTTCCATATGAAATTCGAATCTGTTTGTTTATCGATTTTTGCCGTTGATTCCTACCAAATAACCACCTTTATTCTGTGCTACCTGCATAAATATCACCAAAGCCAAAACAATGTTTTTCGATGTTAATAATATGTTTGTTTGTTAAATGTTTTAACCTACTTATTTCTTAATCTACCTATACTCGACTATTTGCACTTTTCAATTTTTTTTATTTGTCTACCTTAATCGCACACACACAAACTGCGTTTCAATCTGTATGAATGCCGATGTATTTCATCGAGAATCTCTTGCGAAAATCGAAACTGTACCTTTCGATTTTCGAAATTGACCGATTGCACTCGATATGAATGTTTTTTTTAATTTTATTTCTCTTTCTTTTTAGGAATTTGAATATTCTTAGACGAGTAAAGGTGAGTCGTTTCCTTCGCTCTAAACTCGCATGCTGCTTGCTTGTAACTCTATTTTCCTTTTCGTCAGCTAGATATGTGTCTTATTATAGTTCTAATTTTTCTACAATTTGATTCCTAATAATAAAGCTGTAGGTGTCAATTCATTAAAATAATTGGCTGTGTGAGTAGGGCTATTTATGTATGAAGTTGTGTATCTATGAAGGTAAGTAGTTTTGTTTTATTTGATTTCGGTGCTATTTTAGGTGCTAATTCGCTATATTTTAAACAGTTTTTCATTAGGTGTTTAAATCGAAATGGATTAAAAATGAATCGAAGCGAACGGGCCATATGGGGTCCTCAATTTCCCTCTACTCGAAATGTACCTGTATCAGCCGATTTCGTACTCGACTGCCCCTCAAATGATTCCGGTCGGCTTTGAGCGTCAAAGCTCGAGGAATTTCATTGTTTGAATAGCGCTCGCGAGTAATTATCGGTCCGTCTAAATATACTTCTGGATCCGCGTCCGTTGATATAATGTTTTCCTTCTGTTCGTCCTTTTTATCTACCCATAGCCGAAGTTAATTGTAGGGAAATTCCGACAGAAGCGGCCGGTGTTTTCGCAATGAAATTAAATGAAAACTTGCCGAAGAAAAGCTCGGAAATTGCGCTGAATTTATTTTCGCACGCTGTGGAGAAATACATGAGACGATCGCTATGTAATTGTTTTTTTGTGCAACTAATATTTAAACGTTGATATGCATGTAAACATCTGAGTGGATGAATTAAACTTTCCATAAGTTAACAGTAAAAGTTCACAATTTTGGCTATAATTTAATTAACAATGAGCTTTAATTTCCTTAATTAAAATTTACTTTATAAAGCGTGCCAGAAACGAACAAAGCAGTCAAGTCAAACAGCTCAACGCGTTACCATTGTTGATAAAACGGGAAGTTTCTTTGAATCTCATTTAAAATGTATATCTACCGAGACTTTCGCTGATGAAAAAAAAAAAACCTTAATAAAAGCTAACGGTTAGTTTGTTTGAAAGGAAAAACGGTAGATTTTCGCCTCGATCCATATTCGATACGTCTTTTCTCATGTTAAAACCGCCGCCATTAAGCCGCCCCCTCGGATATATATGCATATAAGGGACCGCTCTCGCTCGATCTTAAACTGACCGGCCCTTTTCGGTCATCTGCTATCTGCTCGGAATTCAAAAGCCCGCATGCATAATGCCCGGCGCCCCCGTAGATGTATTCATACATTCCGGGATATATATTCCGGAAAATATGGATATTTCGCTACTGATGTACGAGCGACCGGAGAGCATGCATTACCGAGACCGGCTGTTTTTGCATAAAACTCCGCTGATGAACCTGAAGGAAGTCCGAGAAGTTTAACATTTTGTTGGATGTAGGTACATGATACGGTCGAAGTAAGTGTGAACTTTATATCCATACAGTTAAAGGGAATGTGTTTTTGTAGCACTTATATGCAATTAGGTAAAAATATACAAATAAATTCAGTCCACATATTTGACTAAAAACCTCCGGTCGCGAAGTCCATCAATCCTAAGTGGGCCCCGGCCCTTCGAAACGCATTAAGTGCGTGAGCCGCCCCCGGCGAAGTGACCACCGGTTGCATATTAGATATATCCGATGCATTATTCATGAGACGAGCGCCGTCGGGGGCCGCTCGAAAACAACATGATATTCCGCGGTTTTCCTAAAAGGATAAAGTTTCCGAGACCCTCTCCGCCGTCTTGACAGCCCGACGAATTGATCGTCCTGTTGAACGCGTCCGGGGTGAAATTAAATTTTGAGCAGCTACGAGGGTGTCTTTTAACTGGGTCGTCGATGGATTGTGATCGACGACGGCGGGCCACGAATTTTCGGCCTAGCACGCGAACGAACTGCGGAATGCGCGGTATATCGCCGCTAAACGAGAACGAGGAATGAATTATTTTGGTCGAAAGGGTCGATGGGAAATTTGCTCTCGCACGTTCAAATAAATGTTGGTAGATATGTAGAAAAGTTGTTAGTGGTTGGTATTGGGAATAAATTAAGAAGAACCGCGGAATTGGTTATTAAAATTGTTGTAGGAGATGGTTAAAAATTGATTTCTACCACAGGAATATGAAAGTAGGTAACTTGTAAATTAGTAAAATATTCCCACAAAAATTAATTATTACTATAACCACATTGATAAAACTAAAGCTTTTAAAGTAAATTATTGAATATATACCTACTCATATATGTCATTATAAATTATTTAGTAGGTACATATTATATTCCTTTTGAAAACTAAACGTTATTAAATCATAAGCTATATTACTTTATAAAGATATATTCGATTATATCACAATTAATTTTGTTCTGTATTCGAAATACCATTAACTCTGCTATAGAGAAGGAACATCATACATGAAAAAACATTTGATGAAAACAATTGTAAAAAAAATGTTTTTGGATTCCAATAAAATGAACTCCCTTTAGAATTGCTGCGGACTATTCCGTAGGAACACCGCGAGTCGATTGTTTAATAAAAAGGCTTTCAAATTAGCGAAATAAGCGGGCGCTCCGCTAACGTCGAACGGAACGCATTTTTCATTCGCGGAAAAATTGCAATATCGCCGTAATTACCTTTGCGAATGCTTTTGTGTATTTCAATTTTTAGTGCATTGTTAGCGAACTGAAAGGTGGTCGGGGGGCCAGCTTTTAATAACTGCGCCGAAAGGTAGGAGTCGCGCCACCGTCGACTATTCGAATTTATATTGGAAGATATCTCGCGAAATGGAATCCCGAAGGTTCACGTGTATTCATAGAGCATCTGTTATATTGCATCCGAGAGAAAATGAAAACGAACAATGCGTGATTCATAAAGTAATAAAGGATTTCGAAATGAAATGTTAAACTTTTTGTTTTTATTTTCGTTTTAAAAGCGTCGTATTATTACGGATTCATTTAAAACGGAAATTTAATTGAAATATACCGAAAGTTGATATTTAGGAAAAGAAAATTGCATTTGCATCAGTAATACACTTGAGCTTCCAGCTGGATCAAATAAATATAGAAACATCGAGTTGACTAAACTGTTAGTATCCTATATATCTGTACTGGTAATATTAAAATACGCTTTCGAAATTAATATATGCGAATGAAATATTCCGTTAACAACTCGACTACTTGAACCGTTAAAACGACTCATACGTTTCATCTACATCCCTCTCAGCTTCGGTTTCTCTTTGCCTGCGCCCCGCGATCCTGCGTTCCTGCCGGGGCTCTCAGGTGAAATTTTGTTGCAAAAGGCGACCCCGGCAAATAATTAAACTCGCTACCCATCTATTATGTATTGCCAACCTCACGGCAGCACAAACGCTGCACTTATTATTCATACCAACATTATTACAGTGTTGAATAATTAAAAATCCTCGAAAATCTCCGGCTTTTTCGTATGCGATTGCGCTACAAGGGCAGAAATCGTCCGCGAGAAGCGCTTCCTACAAATCGACTGCTTGCTCTTTCATTGCGCCGGAATTGCTTCTTGTCGGCGATGAATCGTCCGCGCGCCGGATTTTAATAAATTAATAATATCGCTGTATTTCGAATGTTGGATATTACCTAAACAAACACACGTTGTAGAACGCTGCTACATGTAATTTCGTAATGGAATGCCCCCGGGCGGTCGACATCCAATTCTCTTCTATACGCAAAGGTAAAGGAGAGCACGACCGCAAAAATGTAAATTTTCAAAAGGGTCACGTCAATGTCCGCTCAATTGAAACTAAAAGAATTCGATAAGTCGGAAGTATGCGGTTGATGTACCGGCTGGTTATAGACTGAAAACGCCGCCAGTCCCTTTTCATCGGAGGAAAATCAAAAACAGATTTTTCGCGAGACGTACCACGTCAAATGCACAATGTCCTATTTTTTTTTTCGTCAGCAGTTCCTCGTGAATCCTTTGTAATTCCCGCATATTATAACGTTTCAGAATTTTGTCTCGAACGTAAACCTATATATTGTACGAAGTTGCCGTATCGATCAACCGCTTGAATTGTCATTTTGTTATATGCATTACAAAGGAACAAAATTGCGCGTGTATTTAAAATAAATTTCAATGCAACTTTGTTGTATAGTCGAGAACAATTCACTCGTTGTTAGCGTTGGGTAAAAATCGCCGGTTTGATCCAATTTGTGATATATAAGCCAGTTTATTTAAGAAGTGTGTTTACATTTAACCATGCAACGGAAGAAAACAACAATTCCCATTGTTAGAATCAACTCTATTTATCCTTTGCGTCTCGAAATCCTGTTCAAACACGCCATCTACAATGCGCCCCCGACTCCCTCTAGGATATTTCGTGTTTAAGTTTGCGCGCCCCACAATGCGATATCCTGCATTTTTTATGAAACCGAACATTTTTGTTAACTCTGGAATTACACGTATAGGTATAATAATGTTGTATAAATACAACAAAGCCAAACGGTGTATTATATTATTAATGACTCGAACATGGCGCAGTCCGTTTCTCATCAATTCTCGCGAGAGAATTTTTTGAATTATTGAAATCTAACGATGTCCGGTGGATGTGTGTAAAGAAAAAAAACAGGTGTATAATCTCCTCTGCTAATATGTTTCTGGTAAATTCGAACAAAAAAAAATAAATGACTTAATACCCACCGTTAAGAATCATTTTAGGGTCGTTTTTTCTGCTCGTTTTCGGTCGACCCTCGAACAAACCCCGGAAATTCCGCGTACTTTTTAGCGAAAATCCTCCAAAGCCGTAAGCCCTCTGAGCGGCCATTACCGTCCCAGTTAAATGATGTCACGACGGTCGACTCGTTTCCGTCTCTAAACCGCCCGTGCGCGCTCTCCCATTTAACAAATGTAAGAAAACAAGGACGGGAAGAGTTACGGAGTAATTGCGTTCTGAATTATTTACGCTTTTAACAATGTTTTTGTACGGCGCGCGAGATTAGCCGTTGAATTAGCAGCGGCCCTAATCCGCAAACATAAACATA